AGTAGGCATGAAGATGATTGTCAGGTATCAACAACCCAAAGGTTGGATTATCTCATTGTTTCACCCACAGAACAATCTCTGTTGGAGGTTGGAAAAAAGAGGCACAAAGTAAGAAAGAAAAAGAACTTCATCAAAAATGAGAATCTTAGAACTTCTCAACATTATGTCAAGGATAAAATTTGCAAAACATTAATTAATACATTACAACATAAGATACAAAGATAGATGAAGTCATACAAATGCTTTTAGTAATCCCAAGTTAAGCACCCTGGCAGCCATGAAGAAGCATTAACAAATGAACGGGTATTTGGCTTTCTGGCTACAACTTGACATTGGTCTATTACTTTGAAGGAGAGAAACCTCATTTGTTTTACTGCCTGAACTAGTAGCAATCGATTTTCACCATCACTATTATTTGCAGAGACATCAGCTTTCCCAGGATTAATTCTGTTTATCCAGTTAGAGATTTCTTCAGATGATGCATGTAGAACAGTCAGTCCTCTGGTACATGTTTATCATCAGAACGAATTAAGATATCACATTAAGATAAATGCATCACCAATAAAAATAAAATGTACATAGTTCCAAGAGAAATCTCCCACCTCAATTCCAAACGATTACTGTCAAATACATATTTAGGATCAACTTTATCCTTTTTCGACATATTTGCATCCAAGAATGGCTCACAGAAACGAAGCATAATGGCACTAAAATTTACAAACATTCCAGAACTAACACTAGAAAGTGGATCGACCTGTAACCAATTATCATTTCTTTAAGGTTCCATAAGCAATGAAACATTGAAAGATTTTGACCACACTCTTAAGTGCATCAAAGTAATACTGTAATAATAAGAAAACTACCAAGGCTACATTCCCTCAAATTCAGCTTCAGGCAAAACTTTACATGAATGCAAAACACTTAAGATTTACTCAAATTTCTACACGTAAATTATGTTCATGGGCAAGTTGCATAACCGTGCAAATACATTATCAGTTTATTATGTTAGTTAATGTTCATGTTACACAACCATACATCTATAAATGTTTTTATAGAAAATGAAGCCAAAATAACCAATACTCACGAGACATGTTGATTTGATGTGGCTAATATGCACAGAACAACAGTAGATTATTTATACCCCACGAAAACAAACTAGGAGTAGTAATCAAACTCACCTAATTTTAGCAAGTGAATCAATTTCAATTTTGACACCAATAACATTAGGTAATTCAATAGCCAGCTCAAAAGGGAAAAGGTGAAAGAATAGCACAAATTTTCACCCAGTTTAAAAGGCTACCAAGATATTTGAACATCTAGACCAAAGCGCAAAAAGTGAAATTACCAGAATTCACAGGCTTCTAGTGCTACCTCATCATCAGAATCCTTGTTAACTACCAACATATATTCTATTACATTCCTTAAATGTGATTGCATATTAAATCGGGAACTATATAAGGGAATAGTAGCAGGTGCAAATAGGAATATTGGTGAAGAATAAATTGTCAATTATCCAATAAATCGGGAACTATATAACATTTTTCCTCATACCTAGCGAATCAAATAAATATAAATCATTCAAAACTTCAATTGATCAATTATTGTTCAAATTTTGTAAAAAATTACTGTGTTCGCCTCTTCAATGGGTCGTCGGCATCGAAGAGAGAGAAGGCAGAGACGTGCCCAATGGTGCATCTCCTTTGTCCCCTGTTGCAGTGGGTCGTCGGCGTCGATAAGAGAGAAGGAAGAGACGGGATTGGAAGAAGAGAGGAGAAAGAGATGGTTCTGAGCCTTCTCGTGTTTTCCAATTTTGGGCTCTTTTTTAGCGTTTCCTGTGTTTTCTAATTTTGGGGTGTTTTGCACAAAAACATTCAAAACGTTAAAAATGTCATTTTCTGTTTTCAGTACAATAATTTTTTTTGTTTTTAAAAACACATTTTCAAAAATAGAAAAGATAACGTTTTTTCACTGTTTTTGAAAATCGAAAACAGAAAACGGATTGAAAACGACAAAGAGAACAGTGCCTTTATTTTTCACAATTAGTAGTTGTCAAACAAAGGCTGAATTCGATCTAATGATTTTGCTAATAATATTAATGTAAAATACTACGTATACACTTTAGAAAATGAGATTTAAGAGATTATTGTTATATCTTGACCTACAAAGCTAGATGTCATGTCTCGACCTTTGAAGCAAGTCACGTGACAACCAGCTAAACAAAAAGTAAGCAAGAGATCACGTAAAATCAGCACTTCGCTTCGATGTCGCATCTTCTACATATGCCGACCGAGACAATTAGGTCATATCCTTGGACACCTTGTCTAAAATGTTATTAACTAAGGCGAACATCACCTTTTTCTTGAAGTACGATTTTGAGTCGATTGACATCTTGTACAATGACTTCTACCACTGACCTCGCCTCAATCAAGTCAAATAGTACACTTGATTGATTGATGTGATAACTTTGTAGAAATACCATTCCATCATACAACTTTTTAACCTATATTTAGGTTAGAATGGCCGCATGCCTATGATAACTCTAAATTGACAAATTTGACATAATTCAGCTTGATAGGTGAGCCTTTATGATAGGGTCATGTATCAAGCATAAACTTCTTCCACCTATAAATACTCACATTTATTGATACTGAAAAAAAAAAATATGAAGTTTAGAATTGCAATTTTGGTAATTCTTTCTATAATATGGCTCTTGCATTTCATTCTTTATGTCTTTCCCACACTCAAATATTCATCACCGTCTAACTTTAGCATTGAAGTGCTAACAATCATTGAAACCATCGATACTATGGTCACATGTAGTCTAACGTTGGTACTAAAGTACGTCGATAAGATACACATGGATGGAAGAAGAGTTGGATTTGCTGATAGCTAGATTAGACAGATGGCAACTTGAAATGAGTATCATTAAATGGTTCAACACCTCTTTTATATGAGACGATTGGCATCTTGTACAATGACTTCTGCCACCAGCCTCGCCTCAGTCAAGTCAAATAGTACATTGCAATGTACACTTGATTGAATGATTGATAGATGTGACAGCTTTGTAGCAAATAACATTCCATCAAACAACTTTTCAAACTATGTTTAGGTTAGAGTGGCCAGATGCCTGTGATAACTATGAATTGACACAATTAACATAATTCAACCTGATGGGTGAGCCTTTATGATAGGTTCATGTGTCAAGCATAAACTTCTTCCATCTGTAAATACTCTCACTTATTGAAAAAAATACGTGAAGTTTAGAATTGCAATTTTGGTAATTCTTTTTGTTCTTTATGTCTCTCTCACACTCAAATATTCATCATTGTTTAACTTGAGCATCATTGTTTACACTTTGATCTACGAAGAAAGCCATTTGGCAACTATCTAAACAAAAAACAAAGCAAGATATCACAGGATGTCAGCTCCTGACTTTGACATCGCCTCTTCGATATGTGTCCACTGGGACGATTAGACCATGCCCTTGGATCCCTCGTCTAGAATGTTATTATCGAAGGCAAGTCGTCACCTTTCTGTTGAAGTATGATTTCGAGGTAAATGACATCTTCTATGTTGGGCCTTTACCACCAGCCTCACCTTGACCAAATCACACTGTACACTTTGTTGTACACTTGATTGATTGATGTGACGCTTAGCAGCAATGCCATTCGATTAGATGACGTTTCAGTTTATGTGCAGGGTAAGGGTGACCACAAGTCTATGACAACTATGGATTACAACAATTGACATAATTCAGCTTGATGATGTGTGTATTTAAAATAATGTCACATGTCAAGCATCCAAGTGACTTCTTCCATCTATAAATACTCACATTTATTGTCATTCAAAAATATGTGAAATTTAGATTTGCAATCTCAGAAATCCTCTCTGTATCCCAACACTAGCATTTTCGTTCATTGTCTCTCCCGCACCGAAATATTAATCAACTTCTCACTTGAACGTCGAAATGTCCATGACCGTCGTACCTTGATGACTCTATGATCACCTATAGTCTGACGTCAATGCATAAGTGTGCACGTAACATACACATATACAAGATAGGAGTTGTGATCCATTGACACTTAGAGCGAACTGATTTCGAGGCCTACAACTGTTATTCCATTTTTAGACTCTGCTAAGGTTTGTGTGGCTATCAACGTCCTAATTGTCCACGTCAGCTTTAGCAGCATAAATGTAAGATTTCACGTTAATCTAACTAGCAAGTGACTAAATTGAAACCATCAGAAAACTTTAACGACTGATTTGAAGAAATAAACTTTAAGGAACAATTAGAAATTTTGCAGCAACTTGAAGGACTAAATATATATGTACTTTAAGGAATAAATAAGTTAAAATTTGGACTGTCTACGCTAGAAAACAAAATAAAAGAATATGAGGCTTAGTTGGGAACATTTACATTTATGCCATATAAAAGGTTTTTTTAATGAGATTATATGATCAAATTAAACAGGCTTGTTGCCTATTATAAATTCTATAACTCTTGCTCGTTTGGTCTATGGGAAATCTGATACTGGTTGATGAGTATCATTACCTCGATATTTGTGTTTAAGTTGCTTACATTTTCCGCGAACACAAATCGAACTCAACCCCATCACCAATCTGACACCCCGAATTTTATTCACTACTTTTACATTGGCCTAAAAATTTATGTTGGTCACTTAGTAAGTGGAATAGTCCACGTCTAACATTTTCATCATACTAAAGTCCAAAGGTTAATATGATAAGTTTAACCCGCCTGTTTGCATAATGATTTATTGTCTTATGCATATATTTTATTTGAATTTACCGTAACTTTTATTTGGGGTCAAATATTTACGTATTATAGTAGTTAATCAAAGATATCAAATATTATACTCATTTTGTAGCTCGTATTAAATAAAATAATTTAGAATAAGAAAAAAATAATTTTGAACTAGTTATGTTCGAGTTATTCTAAAAGAAAGAAAAAAAATGTTTTCTCTAATATTTTATTAGTAATTTTTTTTTTTTTTTTTGAGAATACGCATTCCATTAAGCTTCAAAATAGCAAGTGCCGGATACAATGAGGAGTTTCCTCCAACAAAATTCTCTCATCAGAGAGTTTAAGTGCTTCATTTGCTAAAGTATGGGCAACAACATTAACTTGTCTAGGTACATAACTGACAGACTAAGAATGAAAATAACCAAGCAAACTCTTCGTGTCTTGGATCAACAAGCCGGGATAGGTCCATATCTCTAGTTCACCTTTGAGTCCCTTCACCACATTCATCGCGTCTCCTTTTAGCATGATTGATCTTGGCTCGAGATGTCTACTCAGTTTGACAACTTCTATTACTCCAATAGATTCAGCCAAAAAAGTGCCCGGGAGATTGGCTGAGTCAACCGCCGCATCCCAGTTCACTTTATATTGATGTAAGGGTGGCTCAACCCAATGTTGGGCTGTTTGGTCTCCACTAGTACCAATTCTGTCCGACAAGACATTCACTCTTCTATAGTCCAAAGCAATTTGTCGAGTCGTGCTTGCTATTGATACTGGATCCATAAATTTATTCTCAAAGATAAGGGAGTTACGCCTCTTCCAGATATGATAGACCGTGACTGTAAAAATTTCCATATCTTCTTCTGACAGTCTATTGAGTAGATGGTACAACAGTTCCTTAAAATTCAGCGGCATAAAGGACATCTTCTGAATCTTCCGTGAGCTAGAGCCCCAAACATCTTGAG